CCTTCCCCGGCCCGGCTTTCCCATTCCATTCCGGTTTCCTTCCCCGGTCCGGCAGTCCTGACCCCCTCCCGTTCCCCATCCCCGCTCCGGCTGTCCCATCCCGCTCCGGTTCCCTTTCCCCGTCCCGGCTGTTCCATCCCGCTCCGGTTCCCCATCCCCGTCCTGGCAGTTCCATCCCGCTCCGGTTCCCCATCCCCGCTCCGGCTGTCCCATCCCGCTCCTGTTCCCCATCCCGGGGATCAGCAGACCGCTAAAGTCCCTTCTCACCCAAACCATGCCGGATCTGTGACATTCCCAGGACTGGCTTTGTCCAGGCTCATCAACCCACTGGGAAATGAAGGCACACGAAGGGCTGGGGGGCTTTGCTGCCCTACAGGTGTTGGGAGCTGTGTGTCCCACCCTGGCTGTCTTGGAGGCTTGAATTTCTCCTGGGAAAGCTATTTTTGGGGTATTTGTTGTTATTATGTTTTTCTTTCCAGCCTGAAGAGGGCTCTCGGCACTCGCTGCTGAGCCTGCCCTGCGCTCTCAGCAGCAGCACTCACCACCCTTTGATTTTGTGACTCAGTTTACCTGCAGTGCTGCCACTTGTGACAGTGCCGCTTGTAACCCTGTACTCTGGCTGACGTGAGAAGCCCACGAGTACTGATACTCCAGCCAGCTGAGCCTTGCCCAGCACCTAAAGCCATGTTGGAAGGAGTTTCTGGTGTGTTAATCCAAATGAATGCTGGAAAAGCCGCTGCACTGAGTCTGTCCAAGGCAGGGATGGCATCTTGCACTTTCCACAGCTGTTGTCCTTGTACCTTGGAACTATTCTCTACAGGTATAGATTGGGAGCTGCTCTGGATGGAGCTGCCTGCAGCTGTGGTGTTGATTTGCTGTGAAGAGATTTACTAATTTGGAATCACCTCTTGCCCAGAGGAGCAGGCAGTGCTGCTGGTGGTGGGTGAATAAAACAGGAGCCCTGGACAGGGAAATTCTGTGCTCATTCTTGCTGTGTAAGAGCCACAAGCCACAACACAGATCACACAATTAAAGACAATGATATTTTTGCTCCTGGCAGTGTTTTGGTCACCCAATGCTCTCCTCGGTCATTTCCCCCAGTTCTCCTCTTTGCTTTATAGCTGGGATGCTGGTAGCTATACTGGGGAAGGCAAGGCCCTTATTTGAGGGGAGATAAATCAAAAAGCAGAATTTCTGATTGTGACTGCTGGTTTGAAAGGCTCAATTCTCTTGGAGCTCAGTGCTGCTCTGTCTCCTGGTGCCACTCAAATTGAGCCACTCATCTCACCACTTCCAGCATGTTCCAGTTAGCCCCTGTCAGTGTCTTGCTGAATGACCACGTGTGGGGTGGGTGGCAGCTCCAGACTGGGGTGGGATTTCAGTGGGATTTCAGTGGGATGGGCTCCCAAAGGCCCTGCCAGGAGGAGGAGGCAGCGCTGGGTGTCAGTCAGCTTCTTATCCCAGGGAGTTCTGGAAGGTGCTGGGCGCTGCTGCAGCTGCTGGCCTGGAGCCACTTGTCCCCGAGGCTCAGCTGTCTCATGCTTCCCTAAATAGAAAGGGAAAAGGGTCTGAGCACTGTGACAGGGGTCAGCCATCCCAGCCGTGGGCTTTTTTGGCATGAACCTCCCCCTTGCTGCTCCCCACAGCCTCTGCAGCCCTGCAGGCAGAGGGGAGCTGGGATTTGCCCTGCCAGGTGGGAGAGGATTCCCTCTTGCTGCAGAGGGTGCTGCCTGCCTGCAGCCAGGTGCCCCCCGAGCTGGCCCTGGCTCCCAGCCCTCCCCAGGCGTATAAAGCACGAGGGGACAAGGAGGGGACAGGCTGTGGTGACAGGTGACACTGACAGGCAGCAGGAGCTGCCAGGTCCTGCCCAAACTTGGAGTGGGAAGTGAGCTCTTTCCTGAGCCACACGGGCTCTCCGTAGTGCTGGCAGATTTCTTTCTTTTTTTGTTTTAGTTTTTCTTTCCTTTTTCTTTTTTTTTTTTTTTTTTACTCCTAAGGATTTACATTGGTGGGAAAAGCTTCTGAGAAGTCACAGCCTTGAAGAGCAATTTACATCATCATTTTCAAAACTCTTCGTCCTGGTAAGCTGCTTTTATTAATGTGTGTTAATTACATGTCAGTCTCATGGTGGAACTCAGCTTGGGGGAGTAAGCAGGCGACCCAGGCAGTTGAAAATGGGCCACAAATTGACGTTTTTCCTTCAAGCTCTCCAGATGGAGGATCCCATTCAGCTGAAAGAGGAGGGGAATAAATATTTTCAGGCCAGTGACTATGAGAAAGCCCTTCAAAGCTACACTCAAGCCATAAAGCTCAACAAGGACAAGGCGCTGCAGGCGGTGCTGTACAGGAACAGGGCAGCCTGTTTCCTCAAAAAGGTGAGAGCAGCTCCCCTCACCTGGGCAGTGCTCAAGGGGAGAGGGGCAGGAGGGCAGCCAAGGGCACTCACTCGCTGTGGACTGGGTGGTTTGTCCATTTATTGAATAGGGTGAAATGAAGTGTTCTTGTGCTGGAGCTTCACTGGGGCATCCCCCTGGGAAATGGGAGCAGAGAGGTCCCGATGTCCATCAGCAATGGGGATTTGCCCTGCTATTCCATGGCTAAGAAATTTCTGCTTTCTGGTTTGACAGGAGGAATATGCTAAGGCAGCCTCGGATGCATCTAGAGGTAAGGAGGGGGCTGTTATGAGGAGAGCTGGATACACTTGCTCAGCCTGCTCTCACATCTGTGGCCTTATTCCTTGATGTCCACTAACACCCAAGTGCTGAGGCCACAAGGGAATTCCTGAAAGTTCAAGTGATGTTCTAATTTGATGTGCTGGTCCAATCAGTGTTAATCAAGCACTGCTTGATGCTAACAACAAAGCAAATCACAGTTTGCACAGGCCACTTGCAAGCAGCAAGCTCTGATGCCTGGTGTTTTGGATCCCTTTCCCAGCCATTGACATCAATACTTCGGATATCAAAGCCTTGTACCGGCGCAGCCAAGCCCTGGAGAAACTGGGCAAGTTAGACCAAGCATTCAAAGATGCCCAGAAATGTGCAACCCTCGAACCACGCAACAAAAACTTCCAGGAGACCCTGAGGAGACTGGGGGCCAACATCCAGGAGAAGGTAAATGCCAGGGGAACAGTGCTGGATTCACAGACCAGGGGTGGGAAATCCTTGGTCTGGGTTGCATCAATGGTTTGTTGGTCATACTGGAAATCTGTGGCAATATAGGGGGATAAGTAGGCTCCATTGACTGGAAGTTCATACTTGAGGTGTGTAAATCTGAGGGTTGGGTTGAATGGTTTAATTAAAAAGTGTGGCAGCTCCCTCCTGAGGCTGGCCTGGTCCTGAGTGTCTTGGAAAGGTCTTGGCAAGGGTCTGGATAAGCTTTGGGCTGGGTCTGGCAGTCACCACATTGCTACAGTTACCTTTACAGGGGTGCTGTGAAGAAATCCTTGCACCACTACACTCCTGTGAAGTCTCAGAAATCAAGGTTTAGGGCTGGCTCTGCCTGTGCCCATGAGATTGGTAATGGATGCTGAGTGCTGAGAAATTCTATCTCCTGTTATTCAGCTTAAATTGCGCATTAAATTAAGCACTAAATCTTTGCCTGTGGTTTGAGGGGAGGGAGCATTCTTGAAGTGAAAAAGGAAAGCTGCTCCTCGATTTTCTCCTCCTGATGCTCTGTGCTCTCCCTCTTGGCACAGCTGCGCATTCAGTTCTCCACGGACTCGAGGGTGCAGAAGATGTTTGAGATCCTGCTGGATGAGAACAGCGACAAAGAGAAGCGAGAAAAGGTGAGAACAGCCCTGGAACTTGGCAAAATGGCTGTTTGATGTCAGAGGCTGCTCCAGGGAGCAGAGCCCTGCGTCCCCTTCCCCACCTCCCCTGGATGGAGGATGAGGGAAGGAGCTGGAAGGTGAACTGCGCTCAGAGAGAAGGAAAATCACCCCTCTGCCAAGGGAAGGTAGCCCAGCCTCCCAAAATACCAAAGGTGGGGTCATCCTGGACTTCTGCTGAGGTCCTGCCACCCTCCAGATGTTCCTTCCAAGCAGTGACCAACTCTTCTTGGGCAGAGCAGAGCTGATCCCTAAATGCACCTGGATCAAGTCTCTGGTGGGGTCTGAGCTGATCTGCTGCATCTGTCAGGAGCTGGTTCCCACCAGGATCTCCCAGAGATGTTCTGGAAGCTGGGCTTTGCCACTGACCCCTGGTTCTTCTGCCTCCCACCTAGGCTGCAAACAACCTCATAGTCCTGGGGCGGGAGGAAGCAGGTGCTGAGAGGATTTTCCAGAATAATGGAGTCAACTTGCTGCTGCAGCTGATAGAAACCAAAAACCCTGAGCTGATCCTGGCAGCCGTGAGGACACTTTCAGGAATGTGCACAGGACATAAGGCTCGGGTAAGGACAGGGTGCTTGGACCTTCACTGCTTTTGCATCTGGGGAGGGGAAAATTGAAATAGTTTGTGTTGTTTGTGAGCAGTAGGAAAAGATTAAAACTCTGACTTGTAGTGAGTCAGAATTCACTGAGGAAAATAATTTCTTTGTCCTAGCTGAGCCTAGAGGACACAGGGAGGAAAGGCCTTTGCTAACACTGTCCTGCTCTCTCCTTCCTGGGGCCAGGCCACTGCCATTCTCCATTACCTGGGCATCGACAGCATCTGCATGTGGATGTCGGTGGACAATGAAGAAATCTCCCTGGCTGTCTGCAACCTCCTGCAGACCATCACCGACTGCCTGATGGGCCAGGGGAAGGAGGAGCACCACGGCAAGGAGGAGGCTCTAGTGCTAGGTAAACACGTCACCTGCTCTTCATTCCCTCTGGGCCCAGCAGGGAGGGCTCTGCTCCTGGGATTCCACCTTATTCCTTGCTGAAGTGGGGACTTTACCCTTCAGCTGTACAGGGGGACAACTTGCACACAGCTTTCATCCTCATGGGCAGCTTAAATACTTCTGTTCCAGCCACACAATGGTTTTGAGTGGTTTTGACTGAGCTCACCTGCCTGCAGAGGTAACTTCTTGTAACTGGCTGCTACTGTTTTGCTTCACTGTAGACACTAAGAAGGATCTGAGGATGATCACAATGCGTTTGCTGGATATGCTGGTCAGTAAGAAAGTGTCTGGGCAAGGGCGAGACCGAGCCCTCAACCTCCTCAACAAGAACATACCAAGGAAGGACCTGAAAGACCATGACAACAGCAGGAGCATCTTTGTCATCGACAATGGTGAGTCCTTGCCCTCCATCCTGTTCTGATTTCAGAGATGTGGAGCTGTGTGTTCTTGCCTGAATACCTGGAGAACTTCCTATAAAATAAATCCTTTTGGTGCATGCAAGCCTGGAGCAAAGTTAGACTTATTAGCAGGGAACAGTACTAAGAGAAAATCAACTGTGTATGAGAACAAGAATTTTTGAGTTTCTGAAGGACTGCCTAATATCTCTGGTTAGTGTCTCCAATGTATTTGCTAAT